ATGTTACATGTTCCACCCGTTTTTATGGGAACGTAACACGTTCCCATAGCCGTGCCTGCCATCCCCTCAGAGAGTACGGCAAGCAGATATTCTAACAGGTATTCAGGAGACCTGCATGGCATCAGTGATCTAATAATAAATATAATATATATGCATTTATTATTTTGTCCAAAAGGTAAACTTATCCTTTAACATTTGTTTTACCCTTAGGCACAAAGTGTTAATCTCCAACATTTGTTTTACCCTTAGGCACAAAGTGTTAATCTCCAACATTTGTTTTACCCTTAGGCACAAAGTGTTAATCTCCAACATTTGTTTTACCCTTAGGCACAAAGTGTTAATCTCCAACATTTGTTTTACCCTTAGGCACAAAGTGTTAAGCTCCATAGTTTTGGCACACTTTAGTTGAACTTACATGTTTACATACCCCTGACAGCATTTGTAGGATGTAATTTTTTAAATCTTGCTTTAAAGCCTAGTCTGTTGCAGGACAGACTGTATTACCGTATTTTTCGCCATGTAAGACGCACCTGACCATAAGACGCACCTAGGTTTTAGAGGCAGAAAACAGGAAAAAAAAAATTCTGAACTAATGGACTGCAGACACAGTACAGGAGATGACCAGAGACTGCAGACAGCACAGAGATGACCAGAGACTGCGGACAGCACAGGGATGACCAGAGACTGCGGACAGCACAGGGATGACCAGAGACTGCGGACAGCACAGGGAGACCAGAGACTGCGGACAGCACAGGGATGACCAGAGACTGCGGACAGCACAGGGATGACCAGAGACTGCGGACAGCACAGGGATGACCAGAGACTGCGGACAGCACAGGGATGACCAGAGACTGCGGACAGCACAGATGACTGCTGACCTGTGGGGAGGTGGTACCTGAATTTGACAGGTACCTGCTCTTACTTCCGCAGAGTTTTTGTTTGATCTTACCTGTTCCTCGATCCAGCCGCGTGCGGTCTTCCCGGCTTCTGTAATGGCGCTCGGCATGACAGCCGGGTGCCCAGTGCGCATGAGCGAGAAGCACTTGCGCTTTGTGATTGGTCCGGCGGCTTCTGGGATCTGTCATGTGTCCCAGGTACCGCCTTACCATTCACAAAAAGCACCGCTTCTTGCGCATGCGCACTTGGCACCCGGCTGTCATGCCCAGTGCCTACACTACAGAAGCCGGGAAGACAGCACGCCGCTGGATAGAGGAACAGGTAAGGTCCCGCTGCAGAGCTTAGCGGCCGGCCCGGTATTCTGACACGGCCGCGGTGGAAATACCAGACCGGCCGCTCCATATGACGCACTGACATTTCCCCCCCAGTTTTGGGGAAGAAAAAGTGCGTCTTATACGGCGAAAAATATGGTACTTACCTGACTCTTCAACAGACTTCAATTTATGCAACAGGTTCACCACAGCTACATTCTTGCATGTAGTTGCACCTTTGCCCCTACCACATACAACAGCCCTGCACTGGTTTTGATGAGACCAAGGCTCCACACAGACCAGGAAGAGGAGGGGAGTACCAGAACAGAGAATCAGGTATGCAATAGTTTTTTTTTTTTTTTGGTTTTTTTGGTGACTTTAAAAGTGCATGCTCCCCCCTCTTGAGGCCTCCCACTTCACCATCCAAACTAGTTTTTTTTTCCCCTCTAGTTTCGTTACACGTTTTTCAGAAGTCTTCTGTCTGGCACGAGACACTGGAGCCCTCCTATTATGCATTGTTCTCAAAACAGTGGGTGATGCTGGATGATGCACAGCAGGGTGTCTTCTCAATCAGTACATTGCAGAGTGTTATGCTGGAGCAGAACCATGACATTCTGCATTCACATTCTTTTCTTCATCTTCAAAGTAGCCCAGGATTCAGGGAAAATATTGCAGAACTGCTTTTTTTTTATTTTTTTCTTAAAAACCTCTATTTAGCCTGGAGTTGTTTTTATAAGCCTGAACTCTGCAGCCAGTAAATTACTAAAAGGTCTGTTTATCAACAGCATATGCATAGGAGAAACAAAGCCAGACACCAAAAAAGTATTTACAATAATCCATTTAATTCTAAAATGAAAATAAAGATCATTTAAGAACCATATGCTTAAAATCTATTTGGCTTTATCTTGTATACAATCATATCAACTCTTCAGCTAATGCCACCGACAACTAAAATGATACAGCAGAGTGGCTCGCTTAACTTGCATTGTATTGCAAGAGGTTTTTGACGTGTATGCTTACAATTCTGAGATTATTCTCAGCCCTTTCAAAACTGCTGGAAGTTTATTGTTTCAAGATTCCTAAGCATGTGGACTAGAAATGTCTACAGCAGGCTATTCTAACCGAAAGATCATGGCCTTTGTAGTGGTTCATAGATGGTGAAACAGAAGCCATTTAGAAAACAAGAGCTACACTAAAATCTGGGTACTACCTGCACTTTTAGTAAATTTTTTAGTTTGTGTATTAATGCAATACAAGTAGTTTCTTTTAACATCCTGCAATGTCTTCTCTAAGGAGACAAATAGATTTAATATGCCTCCCCATTTTCAGAAAATATTTAATCTAAAACCTGGCAAGGCCAAACAATATTCTTTACATCATTTAAAAAAAAACTTGAATTTCTTCTGCACTGCGTGCCTAATGGAGAAGAACCAAATCCAGATTCGATTTGCCAGATTTCACAAACCTGGAAATAACATTACCCCGCTGCATTATAAAATGTCATACAGGCGATTCATTGGAGCAAGAAATTACCCCACCGCATTACTTCGGGGTTGATTTACTAAAGGCAGATATACTGTGCAGCTGCTCCAGAGCTTAGTAAAAGAGGTAAAGCTTCACTTTGCAAGGAATATACAATCACATGCAAGGAAAATTAAAGAGCATTTCTGCTTGCTGATCATTGAAATCAGCAGAGCTTCCCTTCAGATCTAGAGCAACTGCACTTGCAGGTGCACTGACAGTGCACAATATATTTGTCTTTAGTAAATCAACCCTATAATGTCATAAGTGACTCATTGGAGCCAAAGCAGACCCACTGCATTACACAATACAACAAGTGAAGCTAAAGAAGACCCCTCCACATTACATAACGCCATGCTGATGACTCTGATGCCAAACTGATGGCACTGCATTATATAATGCCACAGTTGACCCCACTCTATCAAATATTGCCAATACAAAAACTCCATTAAAAAAAATAAAACAAGAGGAATTACAGACTACTAGCAGATGGGTACCAGTATTACCAGGTACCACCATTACCAAGTGTCTTTTTTTCCCATACACACTACTTGGTTTTACTTTCATATCATAAGTGCACTGTAAACTCTTCATAGCAAACCAGATTATGAACAAGCAATATTACAACCGCAGTGTATTCACAAGCAAGGGTGCTGACGTTCTAGCATTTAAAAAAAAAAAAAAAAATCTCTTTGCAAGGTTAATCATTAATTCTGAATTTACAGGTTGCCCCATATGTAAATATAATGAAGGACAGTTTGTCAACATGTTGCTCAGAGTAGCTACAGGTTTCCTTTACTTTTATTGACCAGGTTTAAAATTGAGAGCTTCTTCCCAATACTGACACTTCCTTCATTTTATGGACCTAATGTCAGTTTTTGGGAGTCCGTGATTTTTTAGAAAGTTCTAGAGACCTAGAATTAAGCCTCATGGTCTCCCATTACTCAAAACTTCTATTTGAATTGCTCAAGCAATAAAGCCTCAGTAGGAACCATATAGGATCCAAACAAAAATCAATGTGTGATTCAAGCCACCCATTTCCTGAGGACTGTGTAAAACTGCAGACATCACATTTTATTGGTTAGTAGACATTGCCAATTTTAAATACACGGAAACTGTGGCCATCAAGTTGACCATTTCTTCTTAGCCACTAACCTGCACACATTCACACTTACCATACAACAATCCTTTAATTAAAAAAATGCTTAAAATATTGTGGAATAATTTTGTTAATTAAGCATAACATTAAAGCAAGTCCAGAAACCATTTCTATCTTGGCTACAGTCATCATGTCACTAATGACTATTAAATAACTATTAAAATTTACATCAATATAGTAAAAAAATCTGATAAATCTCCTATTTAACTTTAACACATGAACAGATTTACCTGACTTTGAATGAAAAACACTGCACTGAGCAAATTTTTGCTTGAAGAAGGATAAAGTAAATCCTTATTTGAAAATATTCATTCAAATTAAACGAGAAAAAAAAAAAAAAAAAATAAGTGCTGAGAATCTATGTCCTTGATTCATTTGATGATCATCATAAATTAAAAACTGCAGGTATATAAAAATAAATACATACAAAAATAAAAAGTAAAATACAGATTATGGCTTTGTGCCAACCAGTATTTTCCTAGAAGGAAACAAAAGCTGGGATAGTTAAATGTCTTGGTAACTATAGTACCAAATTAAATCTGCATAAAAAATAAACATACAAACAAGCCTGTAACTCTGGCAAGCAGTCTAGTGGAAGTTGCCGGTGTATAAAATTAGATCAGTCATAGTTCATGGAAATTCAAACGAGTTGTGCCATTTACAAAGAAAAAAAAACCACAAATAGGAAACAAGTGCTCAATTAATAGTCCATCTTCTTACAAGTCATGAATTCAGTTTCATCACAAATCTGGAAGGAAACCATGTACATCCAAGTCTGTTATGAAAGGAATATAGCCATATAACAAATGATAGTTAAAAGTGCTTCTTATTTAGGCCCATGCCTTTAAAAGGATCACGAGATTGAAAGACGTGCCATCGCAACTCTCCGAGGTTATAACCTTTACGAAGGTAACATTGCTTTTCTTGACATCGAACTGTCTCCGTTATGGTTTACTGCTGTTCATATTGAAAGTTATGAAATAAGTATGGAGTATTTGGAAATTACAGGAATGAAGCCAGTCCGTTATAAAACTATAACTTCACATCAAAATTTAAAAAATAGGCTTAAGAAACAAAATAGAATACAAAATAAAATTTTCCGAATATCATATCTACAAATCTGACTGGTGAGTGTGAAGGGTTTGTGTTTGTATGGAAGTTGGAGTTGGTGCTACAAAAGGTCCTTGTGTTGATAGAGAGAAGGGAGCCTCCTCTGGCTCTATTTTTATATTGGTGGGCTGAGTTTCTGGAGGAGCCTCAGTGGAGTTGTGGTCTGTTTCTGCAGGCTGTCCCTCTTCCTTATTGTGGGTGTACTGCTTCAGCCTTATGTGCCATGCCAAACTCAAACCGCTGACACAGTTTTGAACTGGTGAATAACATTGCGAGGAATGAAGTAGATGTCATTGTCACATAACTGAATGCGTGCATACCGGATTCCCTCCCGCCGCATTTGGTTTAATTTTGCTTCATCCACCCATTGAACACACTAAAAAAAAAATAGAAAGTTTTAATAAAAAAACACAAGTATCAAGAAAACATACAACAGTCTAAGTCTGGGATGAGGAGAGTATTAGATGACCTAGCAGTTACAGCAATAGTTTTGTTCCTTTTGGGATAAAGATTTTACACAAAATCTGATTACTGTAAGCACCCCTGTCAGTGTCAAATGGTTTGTATCAATCCTGTAACTGCAACATCAGTAGGACAGTTTGCGCTGTTGAACAACACCACTTACTGGCATGATCACCAGATGAAAATAAAAACCTAAAAAGAAAAAAAAAAGTAATGCAGCCATCCCATCTACGCTGCAATATGTTTGCTTTTGGGTTTAAAGGATTAACTCACATTTAAAAAAATAAATGCACTTTTTTTTGGAGCCTGTAAAGCACTGCACCCGCAATCAGCAGATTGTGATGCAATGTCTGGCTCCTGCATATTGTCAGTATAGCCCTCTGCAAGTACCTCCGATATGGGCACTTACTTCAGTCCATTAAGCTCAATGGACTAAGAGCAATCACCAGCACCCTGGCAGTTCACTGAACTTCAAGCCATCAGTGGCAAAGGGTGATGGTACTTGTAGGCATTTATTCACAGAACTCTGAATGAATGATGCAGCCATATGGGCAGGGCCCTGCTCTTTTCAAGATGATCCCCAGCCTGCTGTCATGTTCCCAAAGAACTTAGCTTCTAATACTGCTTTAACACTAACCAAAACCTCTTAGGGCTGTACATCTCACCAAAACAGTAAGTGAGGAAAATATCCTCAACAGGGGAGGAGAGGGGAAAAAAAAAAAAAAAAAAAAAAAAAAAAAAAAAAAAATACCGCACACGCACTTGCCAAAAGCATTGGGACCCCTCCAGATCATTGGACTCAGGTGTTCCAATCACTTCTATGGGCACAGATGTATAAAATCAATCACCTAGGCATGCAGACTACTTCTACAAACATTTGTGAAAGAATGGGTCGCTCTCAGGAGCTCAGTGAATTCAAGCGTGGTACTGTGATAGGTTGCCACCTGTGCAATAAGTCCCTCTGTGAAATTTCCTGGCTATTAAATATTCCATGGTCAATTGTTAGTGGTATTATAACAAAGTTGAAGCAACTGGGAACAACAGAAACTAAGCCACAAAGTGGTAGGCCACGTAAAATGACAGAGCGGGGTCAGCGCATGCTGAAGCGCACAGTGGGCAGAAGTCAACAACTGTCTGCAGAGTCAATAGCTAAAGACCTCCAAACTTTGTGTGGCCTGGCATAGCAGTGGTCAGATGCAGTGGTGTAAAGCATGCCATCACTAGACTCTAGCAGTGGAGAGGTTTTCTCTGGAGTGACGAATCACGCTTCTCCATCTGGCAATCTGATGGATGTGTCTGGGTTTGGCGGCTGCCAAGAGAACGGTACTTGCCTGACTGTATTGTGCCAAGTGTAACGGTGGAGGGGGGGTTATGGTGTGGGGTGGTTTTTCAGGGCTTGGCCCCTTAGTTCTAGTGAAGGGAACCATTAAGATGTCAGCATACCAAGACATTTTGGACAATTTTGTGATTCTAATTATGTGGGAACAGTTTGGGGATGGCCCCTTCCTGTTCCAACATGACTGCGCACCTGTGCACAAAGCAATGTCCAAAAAGACATGGATGAGTGAGTTTGTGGTGGAGCAACTTGACTGGCCTGTACAAAGTCCTGACCTCAACCCGACAGAACACCTTTGGGATGAATTAAAGTGAAGACTGCGAGCCAGACCTTCTCGTCTGACATCGGTGCCTGACCTCACAAATGTGCTTCTGGAAGAATGGTCAAACATTCCCATAGACACACTCCTAAACCTTGTGGACAGCCTTCCCAGAAGAGTTGAAGCTGTTATAGCTGCAAAGGGTGGGCCAACTCAATACTGAACCCTACGGACTTTGACTGGGATGTCATTAAAGTTCATGTGCGTGCAAAGACAGGCATCCCAATACTTTTGACAATATAGTGTCGATATCCATCTATATGTATCACAGTGGATATAAAAAGTCTACACACCCATGTTAAAATGTCAAGTTTCTGTGATGTAAGAAAATGAGACAAAGAAATAATTTCAGAACTTTTTCCACCTTTACCGTGACCTATAAACTGTACAACTCAATTGAAAAACAAACTGAAATCTCACCCTCCTATAACTGGGGATGTATCTGTGCTCAGAATTAGGCAATCACATTCAAAATCATGTTAAATAGGAGCCAGAACACACCTGCCATCACTTAAAGAGGGATCTCGTTGTTAAAAGGTATCAGTCAGGAGAAGGGTACAAAAGAATTTCCAAGGCATTAGATATCCCATGGAACAGAGTGAAGACAGTCATCATCAAGTGGAGAAAATATGGCACAACAGTGATATTACCAAGAACTGGACGTCCCTCCAAAATTGATGAAAAGACAAGAAGAAAACTGGTCTGGCAGGCTACCAAGAGGCCTACAGCAACATTAAAGTATCTGTAGGAATATCTGACAAGTACTGGCTGTGTGGTACATGTCTGGGCTATGGGGTAGAGTGGCAAGATGGAAGCCTTTTCTTACAAAGCAAAATATCCAAGCCCGGCTAAATTTAGCAAAAAACACATCTGAAGTCTTCCAACAGCATGTGAGAAAATGTGTTATGGTCTGATGAAACCAAGGTTGAACTTTTTGGCTATAATTCCAAAAGATATGTTTGGTGCAAAAACAACACTGCACATCACCAAAAGAACACCATACCCACAGTGAAGCATGGTGGTAGCAGCATCTGTTTTGCTCAGCTGGAACTGGGGTCTTAGTCAAGGTAGAGGGAATTGTGAACAGTTCCATATACCAGTCAGTCAATATTGGCACAAAACCTTCAGGCTTCTGCTAGAAAGCTGAACATGAAGAGGAACTTCAAATTTCAGCACGACAACAACCCAAAGCACACATCCAAATCAACAAAGGAATGGCTCCACCAGAAGAAGAAGAAAGTTTAGGAATGGCCCAGCCATAGCCCAGACCTGAATCCGATCATAAATCTGTGGGGTGATCTGAAGAGGGCTGTGCACAGGAGATGCCCTCGCAATCTGACAGATTTGGAGCATTTTTGCAAGGAAGAGTGGGCAAATATTGCCAAATCAAGATGTGCCATGCTGATAGACTCATACCCAAAAAGACTGAGTGTTGGAATAAATTAATACTTTGTTGAAGCACCTTTTGATTTTAGCTGTGTGCACACTTATGCGACCATATTACTTTAGTTTTTTTATTTTACTTCCCTCCACCTAAAAGATTTCAGTTTTTTGTTCAACTGAATTGTACAGTTTATAGGTTACATAAAAAATTAAAAAAAAAAAAAAAAAAAGTGGAAAAAGTTCTGAACTTATCTTTGTCTCATTTTTTAAATCACCTGACATTTTAACATATACATACACACACAAATATATTATATATACACTCACATGCATACATAAGCATAAATGAGTACACCCCAACAGATTTGTCAGAAAACCTTTCCTTTCCTTTCAGAATCAACATTTCTATGGGACACTGTACTACAAAATATTCCCAGAAATGTGGGCCATTGATTGTAAACAAGATTTGTTCATTTTCACACACCAAAACAAAGTATTTTTTCTAACAAATTAATTCAAGACCATGTTACAAAAATGAATACACCCCAATGAAAGTCTTAGAAGCAAAGCTAACTTTTAGACAACAAAATCCTAATTAACAAGAATTCAACTACAGATGAGTCTTAATTATTCATCAAACAGGTGTCCAGCAGACAGTGGATTATAAAAGGGTGTTATTAAAAGAATACCCCTTCCCAATTCATGCTGTCAGCAATGGCACCACATGGAAAGGAAATGTCACAAAATAAATCTCTTTACACAAGAAAGACGAAGGCTACAAGAAGATCAGCAAAGCTTTACTTAGCCAGAATACTGTAGCAACAGTGATACAATAATTTAACAGAGATTGAACTGCAACCCTCTCACAGAGATGTCAACAGATGTTAGCACCTAGACAGGAGTGTTTTCTGATGAGAAGGGTTGAAGAAAATCACCATGCACGTTCACTGCAGTTAGCTAAAGTAGAAAGCCAAACTGGGGTGATGGTTTCCTATGACACAATATGGAGTACACTGCAGAGGAATGGCATGCATAGGTGTCATCCACGAAGGAAGCCTCTCCTAAAGCCCATGCACAAAAAAGTCTGCCTAGAATTTGCCAGGACCCATGCTGAAAAAGAAGATGACTACTGGGACTGTAATTTGGAGTGATGAGACCAAGATAAATGTTCTTGGAACCGACGGCTTCAAAACTGTATGACGTTGCAAAGGTGAGGAGTACAAAGAAAAATGTACGGTGCCTACAGTGAAACATGGTGGTGGCAGTGTACTTCTGTGGGGCTACATGAGTGCTGCTGGTGTCAGGGAGCTGCATTTCATTGATGATATCATGAATTCACAGATGTACTGCTCTGTATTGAAAGTGAAGATGCTACTATCACTCCATGCCTTTGATCGTCGTGCACTTTTCCAACATGACAATGATCCAAAACACACATCCAAGGCCACAGTTGCTTTTCTGAAGAAGAAAAGTCCTGATCTGAACCCAATCAAACACCAATGGGGAATTCTGAAGAGACAAGTTGATCATCACTCCCATTCAGCATCCAGGCTCTAAAAGAGGTCGTTCTTGAAGAATGGAAAAAAATAGATGTTGCAATATTTCACCAACTTGTCCATTCCATGCATAGAAGACTTGGTGCTGTCCTTACAAATCATGGCAGTCATACAAAATACTAGAAGTGGTCGTTTTTTTGTTGTGGGGTGTATTCATTTTTGCATCAACTAAATTTGATTAAAACTGAAGATGTTGTAATCCAAGTTATATTAACCTTACTTTCATGTAATGAGCTAAACAAATGTTCTATTAAAAAAAAAAAAAACTTTGTCAAAATTGTGGATATTGTTCTTGTGTGTGTGTGTGTGTATTATATAATAACACACATACAAATTTTTATATATATATATATATATATATATATATATATATATATACACATACATACATATATACACACACACACACACACACACACACACATACATACACATACACACACATATATACATATACACACACACACAGCTGCAAAAAATTAAAGGAACACTTTTTAATCAGAATATAGCATCGAGTCAATTAAACTCCTGGGATATTGATCTGGTCAGTTAAGTAGCAGAGGGGGTTGTTAATCAGTTTACACTGCTTTAGTGTTAATTAAATTAATTGGGTGCACTAGATTGGCAACAATGAGATGACCCCAGAGGCCCAGCTCCATTAAAAGGTGGAACAAGGCCCAATAACTTGCTGCCGCTGTGGTCTGAAGTGCACCCTGTGGTAGCAAAATGGCAATTTACTACAAGAGACTGCCAGTGCAGGACTCACCGCTTAGGTGGATATACTCCTCAGGACATGCTAGCAGACCTGTATTGCACTCTGTGGCCAACACAATAGGTGATAAAAAAAAATAAAAAAAAATAAGTCAAGTAAAAAGGGCTTGCTTTGATCAAAAGGGAGAAAGACACCCCATTCTCCTAGGACACTAGCAAAAAACTAAAGCATGATGGGAAGGGGAGCAGTTATATTTAGCTGACTAGCAGCTTTGTTGGTCATTGATCAATCTCCTATATGCAAAACCGTAACCCACTTGTCTTGGAATCCCTTCTGACCCTTAATGAAGGATCATTATATATGATTATTATAATTTTATGACGAGTATGTGAACATATACATCTATACCCTAAAATCACCTCCAACTCTGGAAAGCAGCAGCAGCAGCAGCAGCAATCAGTCAAGAAAAGAAACGGATACCCAGAAAAATGAACATCCATTGAAATTTCCTCAATTTTCATGGTTACCACTGTCCAGGTTACACAGCATTTCTAAAATAAATTTTCTCTCCTCAATTTTAAGGAATGGAACCACTTCTGTGTAAAAAATAACATTACTGTCAACGGAGAAGCATCATGTCAAGTTCTTCAACTTTACCTGAGACACAGGAGGCTCATGGAGATCTAGCTGTAGTCTCTGCACAACTTGAGAGAAGTCTTCTGCATGAAAGCAGATCACATCTTTGGTTATGCGAGCTTGATCACTCCTGAAGGTAAATAAAGAGAAAAAAAAAAAAAAGTCACCAAGTCTGTTCTGTATTGTTTTTACTATAGTGTAGCCGAGTATACTAGAATACATCCCATTCATATCAGACACATTATCATTTCTGTTCCAAAAGTTAATGAAATACAGAATGGGTATAACACACACACACACACACACACACACACACACACACACACACACACACACACACACACACACACACACACACACACACACACACACACACACACACACACACACACACACACACACACACACACACACACACACACACACACACACACACACACACACACACACACACACACACACACACACACACACACACACACACACACACACACACACACACACACACACACACACACACACACACACACACCACACACACTGTACATCTCACACACACACTACAAAAAAATGCCACACACACCACACACACACACACACACACACACACCCTGCCACCCCCCCACCCCTATTGAAATTAAATATTTTCATGTAGATTCTTCACTTTCCTGGGTTTAACAAGCCAAAGCTTTTCTTTTTAGTGTGGATTCACACATGTGCGGTACGAACTGAAGCTCTGTTTTCACAGCTAACTGACAAAATTGTTGTTTAGCGGTTCAGGTTAGGTTTACATCAGGATCAAGAGAGAAAACCTGCCTGATATCCTGTCCACACACTCATAACATATGCGATTCAGAAGCGCTTCACATAGAAGTCAATGAGCCTTTAACCTGCAAAGCTCAGAAATTGGACAAGACTTCCAATCCGCACTGCCAGCGCACCAGAAGTATTTGAACATTGCTTCCCATAGTGCCTGTTATTTCACATTTTGTGTGGATTGGATGTGGTTCATACCGCATCCAATCTACATATATGTGAACCAGGTCTTATATTGAGTTTTGAGCCTAGGTTTTATAAAATGCATATGCCGTGTTGGAAATTAGTCAATACTTTTTTGGATAATGACAGAATATGCAGCTTTTCTGCTCTTACTGGTCTTACCATTCTCCAAACTGCACGGCCTTTAAAACCCCTACAGCTGCTGTACTCTCCCAGTCAAAACCTTGGCCAACATGATCAGCATGTGCTCTTGTTCTGTCTTCAAAGAGGACCTCTCTAGGCTCACTAGTTCGGGGCAGATATTGCAAGTTCTTTATCTCATTCATGGACCTGCAACAAAAAGTAAACAAAAAAGGACATATGGTAAATACAGCCTACTTACCTGCAAACTGAATGTAGGATTTTTTTTTTTTTTGTCTTATTCACAGTTGCTTTGTGCAATGAACTTTTCTCTTTTACACTTTCAAATATAGGCTAGAGAATTAAAACGGAAAATACATTTGCCAGAAGCAATGGCATTTTCCCTCAATCTTCAGACTATTTCATGCTTTATAAAAAAAGAAAAAAAAAAAAGGCATAGAGGTGTTTTTTCATTCATGAATGGGTCCATCATTAAAATATGAAGGCAACCATTGAAGGGTTTTTCTTCTTTTTTTTTTAAAGTTTAAGAAAAAGCGAGTATTTAGCCTCCAATTTAATGTGCCTTGTTCAGGTGGCAAGCATCCAAATCTACAGAAAGCGGCATTAACTTAACATTCTAAGATTGCATAATAGAAATCTTGAATTGGGCTATAACCCAATGTTCGCAGCCACGGTAATGTGCAACATGTACGTTAACCATATCCTGGTAGGAGTCAACAATTGCAGTATATATTAAAGTGGAACTTTACCCATAACCACTTGATTAAAAAAATAAATAAAATAAATAAATAAATGTTCTTTAGCAAGGAACATACATTTCACATTATTATGCTACCAAAATGTTTGTGTGCTGTAAATTGCCTCCAGCATTGTTCCCGTTTCATCTTGCTGGAGGATGCAATTTTGCTGAAGCCCAGAGCACCTGAGCAGCAGTAAAAGTATAGACTGTCAGCAGTTCAGCCTCTACATTTTCGGCTCTATTTTCGGCCGAAAAACAAAGAGCAACTGATCATATGCAGAGCAGGGTGAGACACTATATTACTGTCTTTTAAACAGTATAGGCACTTATTTCTAAGGTTTTACATAGCTATCCTGCAAAAGGGACAAGCCTGAAGTGATCTAGCAGGACATTTGCTGACTAAAGTTCCACTTTACAGCTGGTTAACAGCATGGTGCAGTGATGTCAGTTTTTCTGCATGCATTCTGCAAGGGCACAACAAAATCAATTGTTCTCTATGTGCCCTGTTCACACCACAACACTAGCTGCTCCGTGGTTCTCAGCCTTACCTGAGAAACCACCGAACGATCACGGCTCTGGGTATAGAGATAAGTGGAGGAAAGATGACCTTCACTCATCTCTATGCCCTTGGAGGACCGGAGGCCATTTTAATTTTTCTTAAAGCACTGGATCAATGCTTTTTTTTTTTATCTAATGCTTTACATTGTAAAAGAGATGTGGGGTTTTACTGACCCCATATCTCTCCATAAAGAGGGACCTGTCACTACTTATTTCTATCGCAAGGGATGCATGCATTCCTTGTGATAGGAATAAAAGTGATTAAACCTTTTTTTTTTTTTTTTTTTTTTTAGTTTACACGGTCTCTAAAAAAAAAAAAAAAGTTTAAAGTGCCCCTGTCCCCTCATGCATAGTAGTGAACGCATACGTAGGCTACACCCACATATGTAAACGGTGTTCAAACCACACATATGAGGTGTCGCCACAAATGTTAGAGGAAGAGAAATAATTCTAGCACTAGACCTCCTCTGTAACTTTACACTGGTAACTTGTAGAAATTGTTTAAGCGTCACCCATGGAGATTTTTAAGTACCATAGTTTGACACCATTCCATGAGCGTGCACAATTTTACAGCATGACATGTTTGGATATATATTTACTCAGCGTAACATCATCTTTCACATTTTACAAAAATTGGTGTATATATATATTTTTTTTAATCATTGAAATTTTTTTTCCAAAAAATTTAATTTGAAAAATATATTAATTTTTAAAAACTGTCCATTTTGGTTTTCGGCCAAGTGCATCCTGAATTTTGGGTTTTGGCAGCAGAATTTTCATTTCGGTGCACCACTAGTCTATGCAAGTAAACTCTCCGAGTCAGTTTCCTTCTGTTTTCATGCACGTATGGTGTGAACAAGCCCTTAAATGAAAAGCTAAATAGAAGAAAAAAAAAAAAAAAAAAAAAAAAAAAAAAAAAAAAAGTGCCAATAATGGCTGCCGAAAACGCGTTTACACCCGTCACATTAAACCTTACTTTGCGATGACATGCCGATTTCAGGTGTGATTTGAAAAGACATCTGATACAGAGGTCTATGTAAATAGCACCAAAAGTAGTGCATGTACTACTTTAGAAATCGGTGTGGCTCCAACCAAGTCTGGAAATGACTATACCCCTACCAGGATTAATGCCCCTGCATCATCTAGTCGAACAGGAACACAAACAGGCCACACACCCATTGCAGGTACCGTGTGAGCCCCTGCTAAAAAGTGCCCTCCAGTGCACGCACCCAGACTGGGAAACCACGCTACTTGTGCTGACCCTGTCAAGAGGGAATGCCACTTCCAGACATGGCCTTCGCTAGGCATGGAAAGAAAAAGGGAACCAAGCAAACCTCCTTCCATACTGAGGAATGGTCTTTAGCAGATAACCCTTCCAGCTGCTCCAAGGGGAGCCAGGTAGGTAAAGCTGCGACTGGAAGAAACGTCTAGCCAGAAAAACAAAGGCCTCTCTCTCACGCCCAGGTGATACATCTCCTCTGAACTGGTCAGTTTTTTGTGTTTTCCTCCAACCAAAGAGGGACTTCCTTTTAAAGTGTACTTGGTGATGTGTTACCTATCCCTGTTGGAGGAGGTGCCTATATCTCAGGGGCTGTCCTGGAAGACTATTTGGGAAATACACTGCTCAAAAAAATTAAAGGAACACTTTGAAAACACATCAGATCTCAATGGGGAAAAATATCATGCTGGATATCTATACTGACATGGTCTAGGTAATGTGTTAGGTATGTAAGAATGCCCCATTGTAGGTTGATAATTTTCATTTCCATCAAACAGAGGACTGAATTCAAATACACATCAAAAATCAAAGTGAAAAAATTATGCAGCAGGCCATTTCATTTTGCTGAAATTTCATCTCAGGGTGAACCTGCTCTTATCTGTGAAAAGCACAGGGCCTGCCAATTCTGGTGTACAATGGCAAATGCCAATCATGCTCTATGATGCCGGGCAGCGAGCATAGGGCCCAATAGAGGAGGATGGGACCTCCGGCCACCCTCATGAAATCTGTTTCTGATTGCTTGGTTAGAGACATTCACACCAGTGTCCTGCTGGAGGTCATTTTGTAGGGCTCTGGTAGTGCTCTTCCTGTTCTTCCTTGCACAAAGGAGAAAATACCTGTCCTGCTGATGGGTTAAGGACCTTCTATGGCCCTATCCAGCTCTCCTAGAGTAACTACCTGTCTCCTGGAATCTCCTCTCCATGCTCTTGAGACTGTGCTGGGAGACACAGCAAACCTTCTGGCAAAGGCACGTATTGATGTGCCATCCTGGAGGAGTTGGACTATGTGCAACCTCTGTAGGGTCCAGGTATTGGCTCATGCTACCAGTAGTGACACTGACCCCAGCCAAATGCAAAACTAGTGAAAAAGTGCCAGAAAAGATGAGCAGGGAAAAAATATCAGTGACCTCCACCTGTAAAACCATTCCTGTTTTGGGGGTCGTCTCATTGTTGCCCATCTAGTGCACCTGTTAAATTTCATTAACACCAAAGCAGATGAAGCTGATCAACAACCCCCTCTGCTACTTAATGGACTAGATAAATATCCCAGGAGCTTAAATGACTTGATGCTATACTCTGATTAAAAAAAAGTGTTCCTTTAACTTTTTTGAGCACTGTATATTCTTTAAAAAAAAAAAAAAAAAAAAAAAAAACTGTGCATTTCTGATTTCGGCCAAATGTATCCTGAATTTTCAGTCCAAGAATTTTTTTTTTTTCATTCGGCACACCACTACTAAAAACTTGTCTTATTCCAGCAAGCTCACTCGTCAGCATGGCAAAGCACTCATCCCAGCACAAGCCAAGAACGTACACTGAGCTGCACATACTGAAGTGGATTGTAAATAGGAAGGTAGGAAGCCTTTGTTGCAGAAGAGGCACATTAACTCCCGATTGCAAAGTTTTGTCCAAAAAACAAATATTTTTCCTAAAAGAAGAAGCTCAAGGCAAATTTCAATATTACACTGAACATATAGTACACTGGACATACAATCTACCACCAAGATGAAGGTGTACTTACCTTTATTTATTAACCACTATTAAGCAGGATTGCGCTCCTAAAGAATCTATTAAATCTATATTCAATCTGGAAAGCATTTGATATTACACAATTGATAGCCAATCTGAAAATACAATATTGCACAATAACAAAACAGACACCCTTACCTTCGACGTTTAAATGGGGATTTTGGCATGTCAGCTGTGGGGATCATTTGCTCTCCTGGCCTCACCCACATAATAGGTCCATCATCACTTTGTGATCTGCACTGAAGCTTAAGTGTAGACATTGTCCCCCATGGCAAAGTCATCTGTAAACACAAACATGACATTACAATATAGTGAATTTTCACAAGCAGCTTTTAATCAACACACAGTGGTGTCAATACATGGGACACCTTAAAAAGCTTTGTAGTTTTCTAGCATGAAAATTATTCATTACACAAAAGTTAAAAATATTGTGCGGCATGCCTAAATAACATTTACACCAAATAAAAACTCATCCAAAATTCCTTGAAAGATCCCATCCCAGGTTAACCAGACACTAGAACAAGTACACTTGCTTTGGTCATTTTAATTTTAACCAATACATTTCTCACTGTGATGCTTTTATTGAAAAGTACTCTTCTGCACATGCTCATCTCTTTGCGGTGAAACACTAATTCCCAGATATGTCTCAATTTGTTTCTCTTCTGCTACACGGAGGTTGCTAATTAGCTGCCATAATATGCCACACAAAAACAACAGCAAAGTCAACCATATGTAGACTCCTCTGGTCTCAATCTTCCACCATTCTCTCCAGCTGATATAAATGGTCCACCACTTTAAAACATTACCACACAGCGTTGTGACCTAACCAATGAGAATCTTTGTTCAGTGACGCTGTCCAGGATGAAATGAGCCTCAAAAGAGGCTTTTCATTGTCTAATGCAGTCACTGACTAATGCATGCTCTGCACTGCTTGCATTATGCAGTTTATTACACTGACACACCCACTGTGTAGTGAGGTTTAAATTGTTGGTCACCCCCAACATCTGTCAAGCCACATATTTAAAAAGCAGTTAAAGCCCAAAAGAAGGGGGGAAAAAAAAAAAAAAAAAAAAGAAATGTAGATTTAAGGCCTCCTTCTCTTTACTTAATGATGCTTTTTTGGGGGGGATGGGAAAGCAGGTACCTAGTTTTGACAGGCACCCGCTACCAGCGCCTAGATTAAGTTCAGTCTCCAGAGTGCCCACAGTTGAGGTTCTGGTACCAGGGAAAAGGACAGCAATTTTAAACAACAGCTCAGGTGAGCATATTGCTGGATCCTGGGACAGGTAAGTGTCTGTTTATTAGAAGTCAGCTGCTACAAAAACTGTAGCTGCTAACTTTTAATAAACACCAATTTGACTGGAGCTCCTCTTTAAACTTATGCCTTAAAGGGTGATTTGGGAAACAAAAGTGTCCCGCCACTGCTCAGTTTACCGTTTGCATCACCAAACAGTCAAGAGGGCAGGACAAAGAATTAGTAATGGGTTGACAGCAAGGTCCCTAGAAACTAGTTGGTCCAGCCAACTAGTCCAGCCCTTTTTACAATACTGGTAACACAGAACAGCTTGCAACTGAAAAGCAGCACAGTAAAGACAAAATATTACTGTAAATTAGCCACTTCCAAAGTAGCAATAACCAAGTAAAAGCATGTGGAGAACCTTAAACATAAGGCACATCAGATAAAGTCAGATAGAATGTGTATGTCAAACTAACCTTTAAAAATGGAGACTCTTCCAACATGTCTAGGAACTCTGGAAAAAAATCTCCAACTTCTTCATCAACTGCTCCAACCAGGCTGATTTGTCGCATTGGACCAGCTCTGTAAGTGCCACAGCAGTAAGTTCTGCTGACCTATGAGGAATTAATTAATAACCAAATCAAAAAAGTATCACAGAGATAAAGTTTTTCTTGACAGCTGAAAAAAACCAAAACAAAACATTTCAGGATATTGCTCAGGAACAATTAATGCTTCTAGAGGCTCCCTATACCAGGATACATTTTCACTTTCCAGCTTTAGTTACCTTTTTAAGTGGACCTAAACTCAGTTGCCTACACATACCAGCAATAGCCTTTACTGCTCTCATTGTATGACAATAACTTTAAGCCCTTCAGCTTAGAAAAGTGAAAGATCTGCACTTTTAGAAAATGTATATAAGTACTAGGTATTATGAATAAGAGAAGAACTGCTTGTTCATAAATGGCTGTGTAGTTGGGTCCCTCCAGGTCTTTTCTGTCAGCAGCATGCAGGTGAAACGTTTGTGCCAATAGAGCTACAATGACAGCAGATAGAGGGTCTTTATTGTGCCATGCAAGCATATCATGTTAAAGACGAAATTTAACAGGTTAGAAAACATTTTGAAAAGCTCTGATTTTCTAGTGTCCCATCTACAAAACTTTAGAAGATTCAAACTAGCTTTTATGACTGTCTTTTTTGTGTTAGCAGTCAATCAGGCTCATTTGTAAAAGAAGTAAAACTTATAAGCTACAAAGATGGAGGGACATGGTTTCCTAATGCTGGCCATATTTATTTTTTTTTTAACAGGTATTTATATACAATTTAGACAGGATCAAATTAACCTACCAGCATATCTTTGCAGTGTGGGAGGAAACCGGAGTACCCAGAGGAAAACCCATGCGGGCACAGGGAGAACATGCAAAACACAGAAATTCAACCAATTCCAACCATCTTTTCTTTGCAAAAATATTAAAACTGACTGAAAGTGTTGGTGGCAGAATGCCTGTTATTTTACAGATTCCATAGTAATGGAAGGCTGCCTTTATCCAATCAATCATCTTTGTAGCAAACCTAGGAAAAACGTTTTACAATTGTTTGAATTTCACCACGGGACCTATATGAATAAATGTAGTCATAGTCACACCAGCAGAACAAAGCTCCACTCAGTATAGCCCTCTTGGTCACAGAAATGCAAGTTCCTGAGCTACAACCAGACCACTAGGTCTGTCTGGCAGAAGCACTGCTTTACCTTCATGGTACATCATTTTCAGACAAGAGAAAAGTTACAAAATTGTCCACACAAAGAAATATCAGACTTTGTCACTACTGTACACAATTATTATAAACATCAATGCTGGATTACACATATAATAATCAACAATAACATCCACTTTAAAGCCTAGTACACACCGGCTAAACATCAGGTAGCATCAGCCAGTTCAATCGAAACCGGCCAACATTCGGCCCATGTGTACGGAAGCTGGTCTGACAGAAGCCAGCCATTAGGCTGGTTTCTGTTGAAGGGGTATGACCGAAAAAGTACTACCGATCAGCTCCCAATCAGCTTTCTCAGCCAATGACTGAGAGCACTGACTGGAGTGTTTTGGTGGGGGGAGCCATCCCTCCATCAGAACACAATAGTACAGCAGGAGAGATCACTGTACTAACATCGGATAGTTAGTACAGCAGCTCCTCCTGAGCTGCTTTTTTTTTTTTTCTTTCTCCATTTAGCCCGCTGGGTTTGAACGAGAACAAATAAATAAAAAAAATACTAGTAGCGTATACTTGGTCTTTTCTGGTACTTTGACATGTAACAATCTGTATTTTATGCTAGAAACTTTCTTAGAACCCCCAAATTATATATATATATATATATATATATATATATATATATATATATATATATATATATACACACACACACACACACACACACACACACACACACACACACACACACACCGTATTTTCCGGCGTATAAGACAACTTTTCAACCCCTGAAAATCTTCTGAAAAGTCGGGGGTCGTCTTATACGCCGGTGCGAGCCGGTGTCAGGGCAACACTTTTTCGAAGGGCGGCGCGGCGCCGCCCCCCCTCCTCCAACGGACACTAAGTACAGGGTGGGCAGAGGGGCTGCTGTACCTTACCTGGCTCCGGTCCCACGACGATCCGGTCCAGGAAGCGCGGCTGCTCCTTCTTTCAGTTCGGCCGCTGGATGGTCACGCGGCCGCTCGGCTCCGCCTCCTCACCGGTGATTGGGCGCCAGCACTGGAAAGGCACACAGGCGACCAATCACCGGCGAGGAGGCGGAGCCAAGCGGCCCCGCGAAAGTCGAGCGGCCGAACTGGAAGAAGGAGCAGCCGCTCCTCTCCCCCACTGACACCAACGATGAGGCACTGTTCTCCCCACTGACACCAACGATGAGGCACTGTTCTTCCCACTGATACCAATGATGGGGCACTATTCCTCCTCCCCACTGATACCAACGATGGGGCACCATTCCTCCCCCACTGACACCAACGATGGGGCACCATTCCTCCCCCACTGACACCAACGATGGGGCACTATTCCTCCCACTGATACCAACGATGGGGCACTATTCTCCCCACTGATACCAACGATGGGGCACTATTCTCCCACTGACACCAACGATGGGGCACTATTCTCCCCCCACTGACACCAACGATGGGGCACTATTCCTCCCCCCCACTGACACCAACGATGGGGCACTATTCTATTCCTCCCCCCCCCACTGACACCAACGATGGGGCACTATTCTCCCCCCCACTGATACCAATGATGGGGCACTATTCTCCCCCCCACTGATACCAACGATGGGGCACTATTCTCCCCACTGACACCAACGGTGGGGCGCAACTCCTCCCACTGACACCAACGGTGGGGCGCAATTCCTCCCACTGACACCAACGGTGGGGCGCAATTCCTCCCACTGACACCAATGGTGGGGCGCAATTCCTGCCACTGACACCAATGGTGGGGGGCAATTCCTGCCACTGACACCAATGATGGGGCGCAATTCCTGCCACTGACACCAATGATATCAATGATGGGGTGCTATTCCTCCCACTGATACCAATGATGGGCCGCTATTCCTCCCACTGACACCAATGATGGAGCAGTATTCCTCCCACTGACACCAATGATGGGGCACTATTCCTCCCACTGACACCAATGATGGGGCACTATTCCTCCCACTGACTAATGATGGCGCTCTATTCCTCACACACTGACACTAATGATGGGGCACCATCATTGGTGTCAGTGGGAGGAATAGTGTCCCATCATTGGTATCAGTGGGAGGAATAGTGCCCCATCATTGGTGTCAGTGGGAGGAGTAGTGCCTCATCATTGGTATCAGTGGGAGGAATAGTGCCCCATCATTGGTGTCAGTGGGAGGAGTAGTGCCTCATCATTGGTGTCAGTGGGAGGAGTAGCGCCCCATCATTGGAATACCATACTGAAATAGGATACCATATTGAAATCAAATCTGATGTTTTTTCATTTTTATTTGGTGTGCGTTGGAAGAGGGGTAGTCTTATACGGCGAGTATAGCTCAAACCCTATATTTTAAACAGGAAAAGTAGGGGGTCGTCTTATACGCCGGAAAATACGGTATATATACACATACACACTTTTTTTTTTTTTTTAAACGTAGGCCATAGAGAATAAATTAGTGGGTTTTGCACAGTATTTACGCAACAGGTTTCCAAATTATTATTATTATTATTATTTTTTTTTTTTAAATACAATTTTTTTTTAATTCTAATGCACAAAAACAATATAAATACCTATTTTTTGTAAAATATAAAAGAGGTTACGCTAATAGCTCCGAAACATGTCGCACTTTTTAAAATTGCGGACAACCACGCAACGGCAAGAAACAGCGTAAAATTTTACTATCCCTAGGCGATGCTTTAAAAGCTTTTACAGGTTACCAATTTAGATTTACACAGGAGGTGTGGTGCTAGAATTACTGCCCAGGACCTGACATTTGCAGCGATGCCTCACATGTGGGACCATCGCTGCTCATGTGCATGACCAATGCGTGTGTGTTCGCCTTTGGGTGTGGGATGCCATCACAAGCGTCAGCTTGATCACATGTATTTAATAACAAATGTCTCGGCAAACACCATTTATATTGAAACGCTAGGGCGGAGCCAACGCTCGTGACAGCATAACGCATTGAATATCCAGAAGCAGTCCGCTCCACTCTGGGACTGGCTTATGCTATAAAAGTGCTTGAGTTTTTAACCTTTGTAAGTATTTTGCATTTTAATAAAAATTAGTTGTGACTGGTCTTACACTATGTTGTACCCTTGGAATTTTAATTTCTTTAAAAGTTTAATTGAGAGTGAAGGGACCAGTAGATTTGAGGATAATGCCGATTGCCCTAATGGCATACCCTAATCCCATGGATCTACATCAAGAGACATTTGACCTTTTACATAGCATGCGGTAGAGGAGCACATGGCGATGTGGTTGACCGCTTTTCAGATTTTTACACCTGCAAGAGGAGTACATTGCAAGCTAAATTTTGTCTGTGCGACTGAAGACATTTATTGGATTCATTATATGCTTGATATGTCACTGTATGGTTTAATGTAATTTAATTTGATAGTAGCACAGCACTTTTTATGTTGCCATTTTAGCCAAGGATACCCATTGGTGTGCTAGCAGCATTTGTACTTTTCACGTAGCGCGATTACACATTTCCAATCTGCAAGATAGTACCAGACTAAACTTGCATATTATACAAATAAGCGTCAAAATTGGCAAGTAGCCAAGAATTCAGCTAATCTAGGCATTGATCATTCGGCCTGCCCACCACTGTAAGCCAAGTTTATACAGACAGTATACAGAGCAATTTTATATTTTTCTAGTAACTACTAATCTGATCACATGCCCAATTTGTGCTTTGCCGAAACTGACCCAATAAGCAACAAATTTCAACACGGTCATCAGAACACAGCTGAAATTTGCTATGTGAATGGTCCTGTTGGAACTCTTCCACTTAACATCCTTAGGACTGAAACACTGAAAGAGCCTGGCAAAAAGATGCATACATTGTTACAGTATTTTGACAGCCAGCTGTCAGACTACCATATCTGCAGTGGGAGATTTGTCCATCTGTGCTGTTTATTGTGGATGGAGTAAATTTGTTACGTTCGTTTTTTTCTTCAGTGCATGGTCAGCGTAAAGCCAGCCATAGACAGATCGAAATCCATTCGGTTCAGCAGGAACAGGCCGCGTTTTGATCTATCTACAGCAGCGGTTCTCAACCTGGGGGTCGAACGACCATTTCCCAGGGGTCGCCTAAGACCATCGGAAAACACATATTTCCGATGGTCTTAGGAACCGAGACACCGCTGCAGTCTCCGGCGATGTGTGGGCGGGATGATACGCTGCTGTCACCTGGCCACACCTCCGGGATCGCTCAGCAACACCGCCTCTTCGCCGCTGATTGGCCACCGGAACTGTAGCTCAGGAGAGGCACACAGGCGGCCAATCACCGGCGAGGAGGTGGAGCTTGGAGAGGAGGAGCGAGCGGCAGCGCGCGTACATCAAAGAAGACCGAGGGAGCTGCCGGAGCGAGTGAAGAGGAGAGCGGCCAGAGAAGGAAGACAGCTGACAGGTAAGTGAGAGAGCGAGCCCAGGCTGGAGCAGGGGTCAGCAAGGTAAGTATCATTGGTGTCAGTGGGAGGAATAGTGCCCCATCATTTGTGTCACTAATACCAACGATGGGGCACTATTCCTCCCCCCACTGACACCAACGATGGGGCACTATTCCTCCCCCCACTGACACCAACGATGGGGCACTATTCCCCCCCCTCCTGACCCCAATGATGGGGCACTATTCTCCCCTCCACCACACTGACATCAATGATGGGGCACTATTCCTCCCACTGACACCAATGATGGGGCACTATTCCTCCCACTGACACCAGTGATGGGGCACTACTCCCACTGACACCAGTGATGGGGCACTACTCCCCCCACTGACACCAATGATGGGGCACTACTCCCCCCACTGACACCAATGATGGGGCACTACTCCTCCCACTGACACCAATAATGGGGCACTACTCCTCCCACTGACACCAATAATGGGGCACTACTCCTCCCACTGACACCAATGATGGGGCACTACTCCTCCCACTGACACCAATGATGGGGCACTACTCCTCCCACTGACACCAATGATGGGGCACTATTCCTCCCACTGACACCAATGATGTGGCACTACTCCTCCCACTGACACCAGTGATGGAGCACTACTCCTCCCACTGACACCAGTGATGGGGCACTACTCCCCCCACTGACACCAGTGATGGAGCACTACTCCCCCCACTGACACCAATGATGGGGCACTACTCCCCCCACTGACACCAATGATGGGGGGTCACTACTCCCCCCACTGACACCAATGATGGGGCACTATTCCTCCCACTGACACCAATGATGGGGCACTATTCCTCCCACTGACTCCAACGATGGGGCACTATTCCTCCCACTGACACCAACGATGGGGCACTATTCCTCCCACTGACACCAATGATGGGGCACTATTCCTCCCACTGACACCAATGATGGGACACTATTCCTCCCACTGACGCCAATGATGGGGCACTATTCCTTCCACTGACACCAATGATGGGGCACTATTCCTCCCACTGACACCAACGATGGGGCACTATTCCTCCCACTGACACCAACGATGGGGCACTATTCCTCCCACTGACACCAACGATGGGGCACTATTCCTCCCACTGACACCAACGATGGGGCACTATTCCTCCCACTGACACCAACGATGGGGCACTATTCCTCCCACTGACACCAACGATGGGGCACTATTCCTCCCACTGACACCAGTGATGGGGCACTATTCCTCCCACTGACACCAGTGATGGGGCACTATTCCTCCCACTGACACCAGTGATGGGGCACTATTCCTCCCACTGACACCAGTGATGGGGCACTATTCATCCCACTGACATCAGTGATGGGGCACTATTCCTCCCACTGATACCAACGATGGGGCACTATTCCTCCCACTGATACCAACGATGGGGCACTGTTCCTCCCACTGACACCAGTGATGGGGCACTACTCCCCCCCACTGGCACCAATGATGGGGCACTACTCCCCCCCCACTGACACCAATGATGGGGCACTACTCCCCCCACTGACACCAATGATGGGGCACTACTCCCCCCACTGACACCAATGATGGGGCACTATTCTCCCACTGACACCAATGATGGGGCACTATTCCTCCCACTGACTCCAACGATGGGGCACTATTCCTCCACTGACACCAAGGATGGGGCACTATTCCTCCCACTGATACCAACGATGGGGCACTATTCCTCCCACTGACACCAACGATGGGGCACTATTCCTCCCACTGACACCAACGATGGGGCACTATTCCTCCCACTGACACCAACGATGGGGCACTATTCCTCCCACTGACACCAACGATGGGGCACTATTCCTCCCACTGACACCAACGATGGGGCACTATTCCTCCCACTGACACCAACGATGGGGCACTATTCCTCCCACTGACACCAATGATGGGGCACTATTCCTCCCACTGACACCAGTGATGGGGCACTATTCCTCCCACTGACACCAGTGATGGGGCACTATTCCTCCCACTGACACCAGTGATGGGGCACTATTCCTCCCACTGACACCAGTGATGGGGCACTATTCATCCCACTGACATCAGTGATGGGGCACTATTCCTCCCACTGATATCAACGATGGGGCACTATGCATCCCACTGACATCAGTGATGGGGCACTATTCCTCCCACTGACACCAGTGATGGGGCACTATTCATCCCACTGACATCAGTGATGGGGCACTATTCCTCCCACTGATACCAACGATGGGGCACTATTCCTCCCACTGATACCAACGATGGGGCACTATTCATCCCACTGACATCAGTGATGGGGCACTACTCCTTCCACTGACACCAATGACATGGCACTACTCCTCCCACTGCAAAATTACAGTTATGAAGTAGCAATGAAAATAATTTTATGGTTGGGGGTCACCACAACATGAGGAACTGTATTAAGGGGTCGCGGCATTAGAAAGGTTGAGAACCACTGATCTACAGGAAGGCTGGTTGTACAGACGCTGATCTATTGATCAATGCCAGTTCAACCAGCCTGTCTGATTTTTTTTTTTCTTTGTTGAATGTCTGATAATTGTATTCTGACGGCTGGGCAACCTGCTGCTGTCAGAATACAAAAGCGCAGTGGGCGGGGACAACCCCATCAACACTGACAATTTTCTTTCCTTCAACCTGTGGTGGAAGGAAAGAAAATCGTATAAATGTATGGCCTGCCTAACTGATAGAATGAATTCATATGTGGCGGAGATTCCTTTAGAAAGTTACAACAATGTTTTACAAACAGGAGGACACAAAAAATGCTCCTGTATATCCATATGCCAACAAAACTAGCCTGAACAGTTTGATATAAGGAAAACTGCAGCTAGGGACCGATATGAGAATAAATGTACCAGAAACATCACGAAATTGGTTCTAGAAACATATTTCTAGAGTAGTAATAATAATAAAAAAAAAATATTATAAAATACTGACAATTGGTCAATGCATATTTCTGAATTAGTTTTAGATTTATGAAGTGAATCGCAAAAAAAAAAAAAAAAAAATCCATAATCTCTTGCTTTTACCAACAATAGCAGGGGTGGGCAACTGCGGCCCTCCAGCTGTCATGGAACTACATGTCCCATGCGGCATTGAAAGGCTGACAGTTGCATCATGACTCGCAGAGGCATGATGGGACTTGTAGTTCCACAACAGCTGGAGGGCCACAGTTGCCCACCCCTGAACAATAGAAACATCACTAAGATGGCTTCAGCTGCTTTCCTTTCCTTCAGGCACATTGGCAACTCCCCCAGGACATGACTTATCCTGTCCTACAGAGTAACCAAATGATGTGCCTTACAAGCCATTCAAGATATACATCTCACAATAGAACAAATGTAAGCTTCCAATTGTTTAAAATACATGCTCAATATCACTTTCTAATTATAGGTTCAACATTTACCTGTGCATGAAAGTTTGCAATTGTTGTTGTCTCAATGTCTTTCTTGCCAAGGATTTCCATTTTAACTGGTGTATTTGGAAAGTTAAAAGCAAAGTAGTCCAGAAAATCTGGTAAGTAAGCAGCTGCACCATGCACTATGGCCAAAGCATAGCAGGACGCACTCTTGTCATTTTCATTAAAAGTCTTTTCAAGGAACTCCTCCGCAAATCTCTCCATCTCCATAGGAGACAAAAAGGAAAGTTCATCCATGTAAGCATGTAAAACTGGGGCGCCACCATTCGACTGATTCTCTTCATGCATTAGTCTGCTAAATCGAGATTCTGTTTTTAAGATACTGGTACGGATACAGTGCTCTTGATGAGATGCAAAGGGCATCTGGACCTCCTGAGGAACTCTGTACTCTTCAGTTCCAAGGTCTGATCGACAAAGCTGTTCATCTTTTAGGTATCTGCAGGACTCCTGGTTCATTTCTACTCCTACACTGACTTGGTCTAGGGCTTCCTGCTTAATGCGGGTCAGTCCAGCACACAGAGTCTGGACCTCTTTGTTGTACATTTTCAGCCGCCTTCCTCTTAAATCATCTCTATGCTTCTTTTTCTTCTTTTTCTTGAGCTTTTTAAGAAGGAAAGCCTTATCGTCATTTAGTACTCTCTGGGATTTGCCATTCTCATCTGGAATTTCTGTGGAAGAGGTAAAAGTGATTAAAACACTAGTTAATTTGCAGGGATTTATTCTTAGAAATATACCTAAAGCAAAGCAGGGAACAAAAACTGGCACATCCCTTAGTAAAAGCCGCACACAGTAAACACTTTACACTTGTTAGGCACACAGTTTACCCTTTTATTGCCCCCAGATGTTAACCCCTTTCCAGTCAGTGTCATATTATTAACACTGATCACTGTTCATGGATGTGGAAATTTTTTGAAAAACTATTTGTCCAAGGACTACATCAGGGTCCCAATTTACTTGTCCCTCATGACAAATATTTTGAAAAAAAAAAAAAACCACAATATTTAATTTCGGCTATAAAAAAATATATAGTAAACACAAAGTTAGTCATAAATTTAGGCCAAAATGTATTCTACTACATGTCTTTGGTAAAAAAAAATCCCAATAAGTGTATATTGATTGCTTTGTGTGAAAGTTATAGCATCTACAATCTATGGTATAGATACTGCAATTTACGCCATTTTTTGCTATACAGCACTGCGCTAGTTGCTATACAGCACTGACAATTGTGCGGTCATACAAAAATGAAAGTGTATATTGATTGCTTTGTGTGAAAGTTATAGCATCTACAAACTATGGTATAGATCAGGGGTCTCCACACTTTCTAAACATAGGACCAGATTACTGTCCATCACACTTCTGGGGGGCCGGACTGTGGCCATTGGGAGTAGTTGTCCTGGAATCAGTGGGAGTAAACAACGCACCTTTGTTATTAGGGGGAGTAGCGCCCCTTCATTGGTGTAAATGGGAGGAATAGTGCCCAATTGTTGGTGTTAGCAGGAGGAATAGTGCGCAGCTGTGTCAGTGGGAGGAATGGTGCCCCATCATTGATGTCAGTTTGGAAAATAGTGTCCTATTGTTGGTGTAATTGGGGGGAAATAGTGCCGCACCGTTGGTGTCGGTGGCAGGAATAGTGCCCCATTATTGGTGTCAGTGGGAGGAATAGTATACTATTGTTGGTGTCAGTGGGAGGGAAATAGTGCCCCATCAATGGTGTCAGTGGGAGGAATAGTACCCTATCGTTGGTGTTAATGGGAGAAATAGTGCCTCATTGCTGATGTCAGTAGCAGTAATTATGCCCCATTGTTGGTGGGAGGAAAGGAATAGTGTCTTGTATCAGTTGGAGGAAAAGAGCCCTGAGGGCCGGACAGAGGTAAGCAAAGGACTACATCCGGTCCCCAGGCCGCAGTTTGGAGACCACTGGTATAAATAATGGAATTTACACAGCTTTTGCTTTCTCACATTTCTTGAGGTGTGAAAATACCAGGACAGTACACACACCCCTAAATTACCCCTTTTCAGAAAGTAGACACACTAAGCTATATGCTGAGATGCATATTGAATCCATGGAAGATATATTTTTTTTTCCCACAAGTCTTTGGAAAATGACAAAAACTTTTTTTTTTCACACAGTTGTTGCTTAAATGATATATTGTTCACACAAGCCATGGGTATATGTGGAATTACACCCCAAAATACATTCTGCTACTTCTACTGAGTATGGGGATACCACATGTGTGAGACTTTTTGGGAGCCTAGCCACATACAGGAGCCTGAAATCCAATGACCACTTTGAAAGCCTGAAGGTGCGTAACTTCCTCATTTCACTTCTTCAATACCTATCAGTTTCGAAGGCCCTGAAATGCCAGGATACCCCCCCCCCCCCAAAATAACCCCTTTTTGGAAAGTAGACACCACAAGGAATTTAGAAAGAGGCATGGTGAGTATTTTTCAGATCTCTTTTTTGTCCCTCGCAGGGTTTTGAAATTAAAAAAAAAAAAAAAAAAATGTTGTTTGTTTTCTTTCTCATTTTCCAAACACTTGTGGCAACAACGAGATCTGCAAAATACTCACCGTGCTTCTTATCAAATTATTTGGGGTGTCTACTTTCAAAAAGGGGTCATTTGGGGGGTTTGGTGCTATCCTGGCATTTCAGGGCCTCCGAAACTGATAGGTAGTCAGGAAGTGTAATGAGGAAATAAAGCCCTTTAAAAGCCTGAAGGTGCCTTGGTTAGACTGCTACAAAATCTCTCACATGTGGTATCCCAATACTTGGGAGAAGTAGCAGAATGTATTTTGGGGAATAATCCCACATATATCCATGGCATGTGTGAGCAATATATAATTTACAAGTGACAATTTTTTGTAAAAAAAAAAAAAAAAAAAATTTTGTCATTTTCCAAAAACGTGAGGTAAAAAAAAAATAAAATAAATGCTTCTATATTGACTCAACATGCCTCCCAGCAAATAGTTTGGGGTGTCTACTTTCCAAAAAAGGTCATTTTATGCCCAGCATTAGAAGTTTATGCCACACATCACTTACTCTTCAAACCACCTGAATACACCAAGCCTTTTCTGACACTTTTTGTTCACATAAAAAAAAAAAAAAAAAACCCACAGTTTTTTTTTGCCAGGAAAATTACTTTGAACCCCCAAACATTATATATATTTTTTTAAAGCAGACACCCTAGTGAATAAAATGGTGGGTGCTGCAATTTTTTATGTCACATAGTACTTGCGCAGCAATTTTTCAAACAAAATTATTTAAAAAAAAAAAAAAAATACACTTTTTACTTTTAATGCACAAAAACACAATATATTGGCCAATTATATGGTAAACTATAAAAGATGATGGTATGCCGAGTAAAGAGATACCAAACATGACATGCTTTAAAACAGTGCATGCCCCGTGCAATGGCGACAAACTGCATACATTTTTAATAGCCATAGGGAAAGCTTTAAAAGTCTTTACAAGATACCATTTTAGATTTACAGAAGGGTCTAGTGCTAGAAGTACTGCCCTTGATCTGATGTTTGCAGCGATACATCACATGCATGGTGCAACCACTGTTTACATACTGGCACGGGGTCAACGCAGGTTTTTTTACACTGTCCCTTTCATTTTTGTTTTTATTTTTTAGCACATTTAATGCTATCACAGGGAATGCAAATATCCCCTATAACCTCAATGAGCATTGTCATATATTCTTTTTTGAGAAATCTGGGGTCTATCAGACTCTAGATATCTCCCCTGCCCTTACATTATCTAATCTCACCAATATTGGTGTAATCAGATGCCTTCCCAATTTACAAATGGCGCTGTTTATATCCTGCAAAACTGAAGTGATGAAATGCTTGTAGCTTCTGATTTCTTAGACTATAGAAAGGATTGGCACCATTCCGGTCTCCAATCAGCTCTATGGTCAGCTGGCAGAAACACCGGCTGCATTCTCAGGTTCCGATAGCATGGGACTGCCCGAGAAGGCAGCGGGGGAGGGGGGAATCTTCTCCCGCTGCTTGTAAAAGCAATCTTGCAGCTAATTAGCAACTAGGATTGCTTTTACATGAAAGCTGATCGCTGGCTGAAAATACGACACCAGGATGATGCCTGCAGCTGCAGGCATCATCCTGGTATAACCACTCAAAGTCCAGTGATATACTAGTATGTCGCTGGTACTTGTTGGGTGTATATGCTATGTTATCTTTTTTTTCATTCAGCCCACAGGTTGCATAAAAAAAACAAAAAGAAATGTCTGCCAGAAAAAAAAAAAAAAAAGTGTGTGGATTTGAGCATTGGGTCACAGCACCTTCTGAATACAAAAGGGCTGTGATGATCTCTTCCTGGAATTTTAGGATGGATCCACTTCATCCAGTTGCTTTGTAAATTACAAAAGCAGTATATGTATATAGCCAATTAAAATAAATTGTACCTTTTTGTACCAGTGAAGAACTTTCCAGGAAACTAGGTATGCATTCATCATTTGGTTGTTGAAGTCCATCCCTCCCATGTTAAGGTTATAGTCGTGGACAAAGAGGGGTTTCTCAACAACGCCAGATACCGTGCTAATTTGGACTGTCACGTCTGCGTGAATGGAAGACAGGACGAAAACATCCTATTTGTCCTTCCACTTCACTGTGAGCAATTGATCATTCCTCAAGCAGGCTCTCTCCCCCTTTCTAAGTCAGGTATTTACAAGCCGTTGAGGTGAACCCCGGCGATTAGGTCGCATGGTGCCACATGAGCCACTTTCAAGATTGTAGAAATAGTGGCATGCTTGTATACAAATTGTCCACGTATAAGTGGTATCCCTTACAGAAAAAATATGACACCAAGTCCCAAACTATCTTGCCACTGCTTCCCATGTAGTCTGGGCAGTTGGGAGGTTCTACTTCGCTGTCTCTTCCGTCTTAAATGATCCCATATCTGGCACGCTTGCTAGGAATGTACTGTTTGAATGTAAGGTGGCCAGTAAAGTGAATGAGGGACTCAACCACGCAGATGTTTTGCTGGGGCATACACACATCTGCAAATTTCTCAGTGAGATGGGTCACTCAAAGGATGACAGAGTGTGTTATCACTGAAATGCATGAAGCGCATTATCGTGTCAGATCTATGCCTGGTTATGGCAGCAGAGAACACAGGCATATGATGAATTGGGTTTGTGGACCAATACGATCACAACTGATTCTTTTTTGCAATGCCCATGTTGAGGGTTAGGCCCCAAAAGGTTTTAAATTCGGAAACCGTAATGGGTTTCCATGAGAATGGTCTGGCAAGGTTTGAATTTGGGTTTGCAGCGATACATTGTTGAGCTTATAAATTGCTTTGGCCCATAATCAAAATTATACAAATCTTCTGTGAAAAACAGCTCCATAAAATCAAAGGGAGTTAAATTTGCGGTTTCCAGCTGAATTCCAGGATGGGTAGTGAATGGGGGAAGTACGGGTGCTGCAGAATCTGTGGGCTGCCAATCAGGATTTGCAAGCATGTCCGGAAGGACACTAGGGGCTGTACGGGCCTGTGTGCGAATTCTTGGTGGCTGCGGGACACTACTTGTGTAGTAGTGTCCCCCAGACAGCAGCTTGTACTGCACTTATGGGACTCGCCACATCAGCAAAATGATACTGCAGTGCTGGTATATATAAAAAAAAAAAAAAAAAAAAAAAAAAAAAAAAAAAGAAGACCAGGATGTACTAGGCTGCTGGTGCTCGCCAGTTCACCAAAAGGTAGTGCAGCACTAGTA